AGGTTTTTCTGAAAATCATAACAGCCGTAGTAGATCACGGAAACATTCGTCGAATCTCGAAAACTATTCAAAATTATAGAGTACCAAATTTGTGGAACAGTTAGTTGAAACAATGCTAGAGTGAAACTTCAACTTCACACCAACTATTTTCCGAGCACCATATGAAAAAAACATTGAATTTGATGATGAAATACTTGACTATTTTTTTTTGTATATCTAACTCAAACCTGCATCGAGTTATTCAATGAAATAGATTATTAGTGATAAATAAAGACTGAGCCATAGTGGTGGTGAATTATTTTGTAGGATGCTCAAAACATTTAGCTGTCTGTTGACCTAGTAACATACCTTTTTTGCTGTTATGTTACTCGCTAACATGTATTTGATAGTATTATTCTAGTTTCCAAACAATGTTGTTCTTATCACCCAATTTCCACGTATTCATATACTTGGGTTTACACTAATTTGTTAAATTAATTACCAGTTAATTATCTTTCGGTAGTGATAGGTATCATTCGAAACAACATAAATCGTAGTACCTTTCCAAATAAATTTAAACGCTTGATATGACTAAATCTTAGGTGCAGTCCACTGCAAAATTAAAAAAAATTCGGAATTGGGAATATCTCGAAATCTGTAAGACCCTGTTCTAAGATAAGTTAGTTGAATATAACTCTGCATGAGAGACGTCTCCTCTCATCTTATACAGAATAAGGTTTGAATAATGCTGCAGGACTTCATTTATATATTTAGCTGCTATATGGAGTCTTCATTTACGTGATAAAACCCTATTGGCGAAACTATTTCAGCATGATTTCCAGCGCAACAATAAAATACTAAATATACACTGTGCCCAAAATAAGGAGGGCCAGTATGGGCATCTCGAAAACTACAAGAGATACAGATTTGGTGGAATGGGAGAAAAGTTGCACGGGTGAGGCACCAAAAAAATTACTCCGATAAATCTCTGATATGACTTTTCATTTTCAAGATATTTCCAAAAATCTGAATTTCTGGATTTTCGATTTTATTTATTTTTCTGTCGTTAACGGGCGTTAATAAAGAAGCTCGTAATGGAGTTATGACAAAACTGAAAAATCATCTTCATGGCAGCTTTTGATGCTCTTTAATTTGAGAACATCGATTTCCTGATCTGATATTTCATCTTCGAGCAACCATCATCAACTCCTTTATTTTCAAATACGACCCTGATATTTTTATATCAGATTCGAATAGCACTTTCCATCATGATTTTGACGAAATTCTATACATATCCTGATTCTGATGCATTTCAAGCATGAATTTTTCATAATTCTATGAAAAAGTTATTCGAATTATATGGAAGAAGTCCTGAAGAGTTCGCCATTGGCGAAAGTTCAGGACTCTTGGTTTCAGCAGGATGGTGCATTTGCACATAACTCAAGAGTTGCTAGGGATTATCTTTCACTTAGTTTCACATAAAAAGTGATAAGCATGTACTGTGAAGCCCCCTGGCCACCTCTTTCACCCGATGAAACCCCCGCAGACTTCTTAGAACTATGTTTATGACCCTAACAACACAATTAATTCCTAGGGCCTTCCCAGGGACGTCTCTAATTTTATTTTATTCATTACAGAGTACACACTGAGGACGTCCCAGGGACATATACTTTTCGACAAAAAGGACATCCAAGAGATGTCCTTCTGGTACGTCTCTGGGATGTACCAAGTACGAAGAAAGGATATCCCTAGGACGTCCCAAGTATATTCCAAGGACATTCCTCCGACAGATGAAAAAAAATGTTGGTCGAGTAGGGATTGAGCCCGGGACCTTTAGCATATCAGGCATGCACCTTACTCCATTGGCTAATATGCCTTCTGAAGATATATGTACTGAACAGATTTACTAACAGTACTAAACTACAGAAACCTGAATAAATACAACTTTGTTAGGATTTCTTGTATAATTATTATCATTCTTGGGTATTTAAAAATGAGGGGCATTATGCATATACGATTCCTGTTTGCGAAAAATGGTCATTTCCTAAGAAGTTCTGAGACACTATTCTTTATTCTCATCACAATTATTTTCCGGAAGAAAAACAAACATTTTCAAAAAAATTCAACTCAATATTTTGATGAAATTCAATGACTCTGATGCGAGCTCTGATGTGAATGGATATCAGATATTCCAGGGACACGAATAGGATAACCTAGGGATGTACCGGGCGGGATGTCCCTGGACAACCACTGCGGGACATCCCCTAGATGCCCCAATCATGTCCTCGTACCGCGGGACAAAAAATGGACGTACCTAGAATAAGAGCTCAGAAAACTGGTTCTTGAATCATTCCAGAGTATAACCCCAGAAATGTAGAATGTTTCAAATTCAACATACTTAGAAGGAAATGGCAAACATCTCCATCAGTTTCGTATGTAATAATTTAGTGGTTCAAAGATTTGTTTGTTTGATTTGAGAATCTATTTATTTCTTCAATGTTATTTTTCATAAAATTATTTATCATTTACGAAATTCTATATAAATGCGTATTGATGTTGATGTAGGATTGTTGAATGATAAATTCCATGAATTAATCTATTTTCACAGAATTATGAAAAACTACGTTTTCCAAAAAATAATTGAAACGCATCAAAACTACAATATGTAGCATACTGTCAAGATCAGAATTGAAAGGGCTATTCAAATCTGATTTCGAAATAATATGTCGGTATTTGAAAAAATGTAGTTTATGATGGTTTCTCGAAGACGAAAAGTTGGATCAGGAAATCGATAATGTCAAATTGAGCAGCATCAAAAGTTGCCATGAAGATGTATTTTTTTTGTGGAAATAACTCGAAAACAGAAAGTAATATCAGAGATTTCTGAGAGTCATTTTGTTGGTCCTTCATTCGCGCAACTTTTCTTCTATTTAACCGCCAAATCAGTATCTCCCTTATAGTTTCCGAGATGCCTAATGCACAGCGTAAAATAATTATTAGGAACAAGATGAAAAAGTGCTATGTCATTAATGTCAAATATTGCTGACAGTTTTCCATTGATTGGGTCAATGGGCCAGTAAAGTGCCTGCGAAACCAAACAATAGTCCACAATCGTGATTATCAAAATTTTCAATATTTTCTCATATATTCGCTGTCGACGTGAGATGTAATTCTTCTTCTGTTTCCTACTTTAGTGATGTTTATCGTTCGAACTGGCATCTTCACGGTTCTTATACGATTATTGAAACAACTGTCAAATGTCAACTTCAACTTCTGAGCATTCTTTGAGTATTCTGTTATGAATTGAGTTCTTCGAGGTCATTTCTCCAGCTCTCATTAAGGGGTACCTATGAAATCTATATGTAACGACGGGAACTGAAGTAGAATAGTATATTGTGCAACAAGTGGGGAAAGTTCAACTTTCTTCACGAGTGTGAAAGTTTGTGGGACGAGCCTGAAGGGCGAGTAATGCAAACACACGAGTAAGAAAATCACTTTTTTCTACAAGCTGGCGTGATTCACCCTATACCCGCACGTAATTTAGTTTGGGAAGTGTCAGTTTCCCGCAAAAGTGCGGGAAAAACAAAGATATGATAATATCGCAAAATATAAGTGGTAGGTGATGGAATAAGAAGGTTCAAGTTTGTTTGTTGCAGTATTAAGTATGTATGTTCAGAGTCATCCATCAAATTGCACTATTTATCTTGACAATTGAGAAATATTGAAAAATAAAAATTGATAACTATAAAAAGACTCCTTTAGATTTGGATAGATCTGATGGAAAACGATTATTGTTGTCATGCCAACAAACCTCAAATTAGTTTGTAATTGTCTAAGTGACAGACACATTACTGTCATTTTCGATTAAGTGGAATTGCCACAATGTGATCAAAAACTTCCAGCTATAGGGATGCGATACAGATGCGTTATTGCCAAGAAAGGTATGAGAAGCTATACACGCGTTTTATTGAATGGTGCAACAATAAAGAGATGAACATACCGAATAAAGAAGACGTATTTTTGGCTTATTTCCTAGAAGTGTCTGAAACCTAGAGACCAAACACCTTATGGGCCTGCTGGCTTCCGCAATGAACCTACGTAATACGTCAAACTGTAAGTTCACAAGAGCTATTAATAATAATCAGTAGATAGAGAATATATTTCTCTTGTTAGTTGTTCCTATATGCAATAATTGATTGAATAAATCATTCAATTTCCTACGCTTGTAGAAAAAATATTGTTCCTAACTCATGCGGAAAGTGTCTTTCCCGCACTCGACTGTTTGCCCGTCAACGGCAGTCGCGTGCGGGAAAGAATAATTTTTCGCACTTGTTAGGAAAATTACTATTCCCCACATGTTGCACACTATATTTTTTCCACAACAATGCGGCACTATGCGACATTGAATATTGTGACCGAAGAGTAGACGCCTTTCTTAGTTCCTCAAAGTATTTCAAAACAGTACACTCCGAAAAAGATTCAATTTCTGTATTTTTTTAGATTCCATAAATTTTTCGTATATGCCAATAAATACTTTTTTCTTGAAATTTCCGGAAACAATTCCAACTTTCGCAGCTTTTTCCATTATCTCTGTCTCTGGCGGTGTATTTATCAAAATCGTCACATCTCGGTATATACATCATATTATTTATTATGAATTGTTGGAATATCATTTTATGGAAACTGCGATTTCCGTCAAAAGCACTAATGAGAACTACCATAAAGAATTTCAAAAACTCCTTCTGACAGTTGTGACAACTATTCAAAGCTGAACAGCAGCCAATTAAGTTTTGGTCGATTTTTGTTGATTCTCCATGGAAATGTATGTGGTGTTGGCAAAGTGCCGTGAGAAAAATTATTTCTCACAGTATGAGCAATACATGGTTTTGATACTAGGTAAGCTATGAGAAATGCGCTACTTCTTATAGCAGTAGTAAAAAAAGTTATATTGGGCACTGTAACGGACATCATCCAAAAGTTTTCTCATAATAAAACATTCGTCCTTGACCTTTCTTACTCACTTTTGAATTCCACTCCTTCAGGAGGGCAAGGCCCTTCATTCAAAATGCACGCAGCATAGTATTTGACCATCCTGCGGTTGTTAAGGATCATTTCGACATCGACATGGTCGTACTTGGAGTGGTAGTACTTGATGGGCACTACCGCTACTAGCCCAAAGAGGCTGCAGACAAGTAAAGGAAGTAACGGCACCATTTCAGCTCACGAGATACACACATCGATGTGCTTCCACTCTCGACGAATGCACCAAACTGAGTTCCATTAACACGAATGGATCGACGAAGAAGTGGAGGCGCCAAGATTACCTTGATCCGTTCTAATTTTTTTATCATTCAAATTTTTTTATCATTTCCGATATCCAACCTAGTAGCCGCATAGGTAATTATATTTTTTGGTATAGCATCTATGATGCCGCAGCTGTACTACGAGCACATATATACAGGGTGTCCGCTATAATTAATGGTACACAGCAAAAGTGCATATTTCTTGAATAATGATATCGATCCTGTCTGTAGGTTAGTCGAGGAGGTGGTACATTCATTTTACTAGATTATCTGTGATTTTCTCTCCCCTTTTCAATGAAATGAAAATATCAGAGTATTATTTCAATATATAAATCAGTGTGTCTCACTTCATGGCAACACGTATTCGTTAGGTAGGGATCCTGAAATTTGCTGAAGCATCTTCAGTGATATACACTGCTCGCCATCAGCCATGGAACCACTCCAATTTCCGGAAAATGATATTAGGAGTCGAAATAGGTTGAAAATCACTTAGCATTCGGAGTCAGAATGCCCAATTCACTAACGATTTATATTTCCCCTGGAAAAATTTCAGTTCTGAAAATTTCATACTTATCTCACTTTTCATGGGGACACCCCCGTATCCTACGTAATCGTTGGGTTAGGATCCTGAAATCTGCTGGATCGAGGGATATATCTATGGATATACCAAAAATATATTTCATGACCAAGTGAAGTTATCTTCAGTGATATACACTGCTCGCTAAAAACAATGGAACCACCCCAATTTCCGGAAAATGATATTAGGAGGCAAAATTGGTTGAAATTCACTCCGGATTCGGGATCATGACGCTCAATTTACTAAATTTTTATATTTTTCCAGGCAAAAATTTCGGTTCTAATAATTTTAATTCTTATCTCACTTCTTATGGAAACACCTTCATATCTCACGTAATTATCTATAAGATTGTTAAACCAGCAGCAAAAATATTCCAAATTAACAGTCAATGATCATTGAAATTACCATCAGTGATATACGTACATTGGTCAGTAGCAGCTATAGATCCGCACCTACATGTCCAGAAAATCATATTAGCAGAAAAGATAGGTTGGAAATCACTGCAGATTCGAGAACTGGAAACAGAACGTCTGATTCACTATAAGTACCCATAGTCCTTCTGGAAATTTTTCAGTTCTGAAATAATGAAGTCTGTCTCACTTTTCATGAAAGCACCTCAATATCTTACGTAATTATTGATGTAGGAGCCTGAAATTTTCAGGTTCAAGAAAGAGACTAATGACCAAGTAGGATCATCTTCACTGCTCGCCTGTAGCAACAGAACCACCGACATTCCAGGAGGAAAAATTTATCAAATCGGATAATTCACTTAATGGTTGTTCTGAAATTGATAATCACAAAGTCAGAAATGGATGCTTATATTATGACTGTACCGAATTTCAGAAAAATTCGTTCACGAATGCAGAAGTTACAGGGGTGGCCCAATACCCTGTACCACCCGGTATAGTTGTACCATACTGACGCGTGTATGAAGGAGAACGATTCAATCCGCAGCATGGAAACAGTGTTGCTAAATCAGTGAGTTCATGGTTATTTCTAGCCATTTGTTACCCGTCTACCTACTAGAAATTGCATCTATAGTCATTTTGTATAGCTATTTACTCTGAACTTCTATAAACCAGTAGATGATAACAAAGATGATAATGATACACGTGTTGTATGCACTTATGTGATAATTTCATCATGTAAGCCTGTCTTATAGGAGACTTGATGGGAAGGAGGAGTGCATGACAATCCTTTCTTTATTATTCTTGTTGTTATTGTTGTTATACCTATTGTAGCGCACTTAGGAAATCCCTATGATGTTCATGGAATGTCTTATGTGTACCTAGAGATGATTGGGAAGGAAGATTCCTAAGTGAAATAGTTTTTTTGATACTTTCCTAGGCAAAGAATTCCAAATCTTTGTCGTTTTATAGACAGAAGAGTTGACGACAAAAGGAGGTGTTTTTGTTGCCTATTATTTCTGAGAAATCTCTATACTATATTAGTATTTCCAATCTGATAATTATTCATAGCGAGAAGGAGAAGATGAAAAAAAAATTCCAAAGACAACTTCCCTACGATAATTTTTTATAGAAACCCTATACAAAATTATTGTGTTTGGAATTTTATTCCACTGCGCACCAAAAATGTTGATACAATGGCTATAGTCTCGCTACAAAATTGCTCAAAATGATTGAATTTTATCTACCAGAACTAAAATCATCAAGACAGAAAATAGTATTCTTTGGCAATTTTTATAAGGTATTATTAACCATCTTTACGGCTCACGTGTTGGCAACACTGCATGAGAATCAAATATATAGTCAGTAGTATGGTATAGGTAGTCAGTATAATGATAGCTGGTGAAACCTTGAGAATATATTTATATTGCACAATGATTTGAATTACTTCCAGCAAACGTAGACTACCAACAAACAATAAATGAATCAAATCAACGAATCTCTGCTACAGATACGTGAGGATGGCCGTGAATGACAAAGAAAACGAAGATATTGTGAAATTGTGGATAAGAGAATGTTTGACAGATAATCATATGTCTGAATATGAAGTGAGTTTTGCAAAAATATCCGAAAAAGGACAAGGATATCTGAGTGACATATTTTTTGTGAAAGCTACAGGACTCAATGAGCGACGTGAGAAGCAAGAATTCGATTTTGTTGTTAAAATCAGTAAGAAAAATGAAACACTACGAAAAAGTTTTCCTCTGAGAGAGTCATTCCATAGAGAAATATATATCTATAACGAAGTTATTCCTACATTCAAACTTTTTATGAATGGAAAAGAGGCCAAATTCAAATTGGATTTCATGCCGGAATGTTATAAAACCATATTTGAAGATGAAACCGAAGGCATCATCCTTGAAAATTTGAAGATTAGAGGTTTTCAATTACATTGCAATACGAAACCGTTGAACTTGGAACACATCAAACTAGTATTGCTAAACATGGCACACTTCCATGCAGTTTCATTCGCATTCAGAGATCAAAATGAATATGAATTTAATAAATTAATTATGGATTTCAACTCGCTCTTGAGCATAACGGTGGAAGAGCAAAGTATGCAGACTTTATTCAGAACTGAAATGTTTACCGCCATAGAGTTTCTGAAAGAAATCGATGAGAGTGAATTAGCTAAACAGTTGCAGGAAAGAATACAGGATGATCCGAATGCTATTTTGAAATCAATCTACAATAAGGATATAAAACAGTCTGTAATTCTCCATGGAGATACATGGATCAACAACTATATGTTCAGATATGAGGTAAACAAAATGTCATTGTCATATTAATCGATAATAGGTGTAGGTACCTACCTATCGATTGTAGGTATACACATTTCTGAAACTCATGGTTCTTCATGAGGACAACTATCTTTGTTTCAGGGTTCTTCCGTCAATTTTACATTTTATTGTTATTTCAGACTATTCATTTGGAATTCAATTTTAATCATAATATATCACTTTGAGAATTGACTCACACTCTCTTGGAGTTCCTGATTTCTAAACCATAAAAAAATGTAACCATCCTATATAGGATGGAGCAGGAATAACCTTCTCACAAGGACCTGTTGTCTTGCACACCACGTAGGAAGGATAGGTCTATATCTGAACCAACCAACATTTTGTCGGTTCTGCTGTGTGTAGTAAGATGGTCGAAACATATGAACAAGTGTTTTTGTTAAGAGGAGCTGATAAGGTTCAACGCATTTGGTTTCAACAATTTAGAACTCCTCATTGAAGAAATGACTTCGCAAACTCTCTTTTTCGTGTCTGCAATAATCTACAGTTTCTCGGCCCAATATTGGGCCACGACCGATTCGCGGGAATCAATACCACCAGGTGGCGCTCGGTTTTCATCATTTTATGTTGTCACGTCCATGTCGGCTTTATGTGTTGTCATCTTCATGTTTTATATTTAAGCATATTGTTAGTCTAAATATTAATTGAACCAAGCCATTATAATGCAATTTTTCAAATTCAAATTACCCTCCTTGAGTACTTGGCAAAGCTTCGTATCTTCAGATATCGTCCGGAATCGCCCGAAGATCGGACACACTCAATTTTGAAACACACTCACTCAAGAACTCATAGACAAAACGCTAGTCCTCTGTGCCTCTCAAAGTCAAATATATTCTTTTCTATATCAAAGTCGCGATCGCGCATAATTTGTGAAGTGCATCACGTGCCAATTATCATCCAGAATCCAGGTTCCAGAGTCCAGACCATCGGAGCCAGAGAAAATCGGGAAACGCCGACAGACCCGGCGTTTTTAAGGTATGAAGTGGCACCAAGTTTCATTTGAAGATTATTTATATACAGTCCATTCTCACTCTCTCTCAACACATGTCAAAGCCACGTCAAAACTGGGGGAAAACAAACTCAATCCTCACTCAATCCCATTAGTGCCATTAGCTTGTGTACTGTAAGAGTGATAAGTTTTCAAATTTCTTGACATTAATTGTCAATATTCAGATGGAAAAAGCCGACCAGTAGTGGAAGGAGAAGCAGTTCTCCGTGTTAATCATGTGATTTTGTGTGAGGTAGGAAACTTCAATAAAAGGTACATTTTTGCACTTTGTCTACAAACTTCGGCGATGAAATCTTCCCCACATGAAGTAAAATTGAAGTTGGGGTCCAGAGGAACTCCTGTAGAGGCTGTAGAACAATGATTTTGTTTTTGTTCATGCAAAGCAGGACAATCTGGGTATTGTGAACATTGATTTGCTCGTCATAATTAGTTTGAATTGTTTGAACTATCTCCAATTCTTCACCTGTTCACTGGACTAATAAAAATGTGATAATGTAAAAAAATTAACCAACTCAACCATCATCACTACCAACAGTGCCAACACTTTATGTCATTGACAAGTTTGACTACAGCTACAGCAAGCTGAATGCAATGTAGTCTATATATACACTTTATACATAGACAACAGTTTGTTTTCCCCCAGTTTGAAGTTCGCATTATGTAACCTAGATGTCGCCCACTTCGTGAATCTCGCGAATACTTTCGGGCTCGCTTTGTCATAAGTATCGTCGAGGTTACAGTGTGGAACAATTGATGCACCATATGGTGTTCCATATCCTGTATCATCCCACATTTGCACTTGTCGTCAGTTGGTTGCACAAAGCGACAAAGCCCCATTTGATCAGGTTGGTTTTTACCGGGCAACTCCTGTTCTGGTGCGGTTTAGCGTTCTCCAGGTCTTGTACAGGGTGATTCACCATAAATTTCTCCCCCTCTAGCTCACTCATTTTTGAACCGATTTAAAAATTTGAAAAATAATCTAAAATGATTTTTCGTAAATTTTTTTCCGTTGCATCAGAAAATACAGGGTGCTCGGAACAAACGATCTACAGAGTACTAGTTGATTTTTTCAAGTGGAACACCCTGTATTTCATTGTATTTTTAGATTCTCCTTGAAGAGCTGATTTCATCAATACATCACACTTGGGGTCTAGCGGGAATGATTACAGAGATATAGGGTGTTTTGAACTTTAGGATTTTTTTGTGTCGAAACTATTCATTATTGGTCAAAACGGGTTCCATGTCCCAATCCCAACTTTTGATTTACTATCTACTGACATTTAATTGAAACATTTACAGGGTGGTTCAAGATTCAGAATTCTGATAACCCTGTATCTGTTCCAATTATTAAATGTCAGTAGATAGTAAATCAAAAGATGAGACACGGACATGAGAGCCGTTTTGACCGATAATGAATAGTTTCGTCACAAAAAAATCCTACAGTTGAAAAATCTCGATTTTGAACACCCTATATCTCTGTAATCATTCCCGCAAGACCCCAAGTGTGATGTATTGATGAAATCATCTCTTCAGGGAGAACCTAAAAATACAATGAAAAACAGGGTGTTCCATTTAAAAAAATCAAATAGTACCCTGTAGATCGTTTGTTCCGAGCACCCTGTATTTTCTGATGTAGCGGAAAAAAACTTTATCGAAAATCATTCAAGATAATACTTCGAATTTTGAAATCGGTTCAAAAATAACTGAGTTAGAGGGGGGGACATTTATGGTGAATCACCCTGTACGAGACACCACGTTGCATGCTTTCTCACAGAGGATAGTTAGCGGCAGGGTCCCTTGATGTAAATTGACGTATTTTTCATCTTAAAACAGGTTACGGACAGATCCTCGTCTTCTCTCACTCTAAAGTCTAAAGTGTTTGTGAAACAGTTATATAGTTTCATCTTTATTCATTTCTGGGGATAAACACTAGATTTCTGACATTTGTTGTTTTATAGGTTATATTGGGGACATTGGCATATCATACGTAATTTCCACATGTAATTTCTCATTCAACTCTACATATATTATATCCGAATGATGATAATTAGGTATCGATTTTTTTGATTTTTCAACTCCAGCATAATCTTTGTGAGGCAGTGAGCAAACCTATCTGAAAGTTTAATACGTTTTACCAAATGGGACTGTTTTTAGGCAGTATACCTATCAATAAATAAATTTTGATTTCAGACCAAGCCTTATATTCAGGCATTCAAACTAATGTACTCAAATGTCATGTTTGCTGTATATATTCATGTTGGGAATAATTTTTGCAATTTTTCACGAACACTTATAATTTCCTGAATGTATGTATACTTTTTACATGGTAGTGCATATGCCTCTTATTTTAATCCTCCGTTTTAATCAAAACTGTTTCTACTGAAATGCATTCAAAAACTTGTGGAGTGGATAATTATAGGCACAATGAGAAAGTATAATATGTGAATTCGTATTAGTTTTACCTCGAATATTTTGCTGATGTTTTTACCAATTTTCCTCATTCGGTCAATTCACTTTCCATGTTCTAAGTCCATTTGCATTTGATGGAAAGCTGACAAATTATAATTTGCCATCCAACTGCTTGATACAGCCTAACGTTCCACATTTTACTATCCATTCAAAACAGAATTGAATAATGTATTAAGATCAAGTATGAGTGTATAATCTCTGAAGTATGAAATTGAAATTTTGTGAGATCTCTTTTAAATGTGACGTGGCGGCAATGTCATGTCAGGGACGCCAATACACGAAACCAAAGTCACTAGATGATTAAAAGAGAAAGTAGCTATGATCTGTCCATACCCTGTTAGATGACAAATAGGTCAGTTTGCATCAAGGGACCTTAGTTTTTACCGGGCAACTCCTGTTCTGATGCGGTTCAGCGATCTCCCCAGGTCTTGTACGAGACACCACTCGGCATGCTTTCTGACAAAGGATAGTTTGCGGAAGAGTCACTGGATTATTTTAGTAAAATAAGAGTTCGAAATATAATTTCATAAACTATTGAGAAGAAAGCATACATAAAAATGTCCTGTTTTGTGATTAATTGTATTTGTAATGAATTGTGGGAATTCTGAAGAGAAAGAAAAAGAGAAAAGAATTTTCTAAAAGAAATATCAACCATCCTCATATGGGAGGAATGTATATGAAACGGACTAGGTGGGAAATTAATTTGAAGACAAGCAGAATTTGTGAGGAAAATACATTGAAATTCACTTCTTATAACATCAGATCAGATTAGAATGGAACTATGTTTTAGGCCCATTTTTGAACAGAAGATTTTAAAGAAACAATCTGCTGTTCCATCCATTTACAAAACACTATTAAACTAAACTATTTAAAAAAATCTAGAAACATCATCACGCGAAATGCAGAACAAAATTATCATTGAGAAAGAGGAATTCATTGTGAAACTACGTAATGAAATTCAAAATTTGGGAACAAAACTGAAGAAATCTAGTGAATTGTAACGTGTCCAAGATGAGAATGTCTATCATGGGAATCCTATTTATTATTTTGTTCTGGTTTTCCGGTTCATTTGAACGCCGAGGAAAAATTATGGGAAAAGAATCAACGAGGAAACTGGAGAAAAATTATGAATTATATAACTTTCGATGTATAACAGTCTTGTCTGAAGCTGAGAATTGGAATTATATACTTTTGTCTGAACAGTGAGATTGATAATAATGAAAAATTTGATATAATAACTCATTGAGACTCCAAGTAAATAATATTGGATTATACCTACTCAATTATAACGGACGTACCTATAATTTATATTCTCTAATGCCTTACTGATAGTGAATCATCTTCACATCACTACTTCCGATGTGATAACTCTCACTTTTCTGAATATTTAGATGTCACGTCTGGTATTTTAATCACCTAATCATTCCATATAACCATATAAATTCAAATATGTTCATGACGTTCTTGCTTTCATGTCAAGCCTGATTTGATATTCAATACCTACTATTCGATCAACGAAAGCAAAAAAAAAATGGATTAGGGGGAATGATTCATGCAGTCGCAATTTTTTTAACTGTGGTAAAGATAAGTGCCATCATGCGAAAAATATTATGAAAGTACTGACCCATTGTGAATAATGAGAGCGTTTGATGGTAATTTTTCGAAATTGTTCTAGAATAATTCGAAACTCGTGGCCTGTAGCGAAAAATTGAACAACAAGAACTAAACGCTCCGCCTCGCAAATGCAAAATTCGCTTGTCAAACAAAGTGTCACTTTTGATCCTAATAAAACAATCTACTATTTTCTACAAACGTCAAGAAATGACAAGGTTCGCGAATTGATAACAAATTGCGAAGTGACACTTTTTTTTAGTTTCCTACGTTACCATGATACCTTGCACAAAACAATGCGCGAAGTAAAACAGTGCGCGAAGTACCTACTTCGCGCATTGTTATGTAAAATATATGGGATATTTATATTTCAACTGTATGATCCTCAATCGAGCAAACATCCACGAAATAATTTATTTCTGAATGTTCGACAATAACTTTGTCTCTTGGAGCGCACGAAAGGAAATTCATATTATGTTCGTGGAACATCGTGCGTATCAAGGGTGGACAGGGGGGGGCATTTGAGTCAGTTCAACACTATTTTTATATCAAGCTAAGCATATTCTTACTTTAGAACTATATTTTCTGACGTTAGTAGAAAAAATGTTGTTTGCAACTCGAGCGCGAAATACTTTGGTCATCTCGACTATTTTTCAACTCGGCTACGCCTCGTTAAAAAAAATCAGATCTCGATCACCAAAGTAGCATTTTGCGCTCTAGATACAAAAATAACTATTTCAGGAAGGTTTATTTAGGCAAAGTGAGACGATATATTATTCAGTTATGCGGGTAAGGTCGTATTGTTTTTAAAAAGAAGTATCTCTTATTTTTGGATGTGAGTTTCCATCGTTCAAGTTTGAACCTCTTGATTGGGTGAAAGTATTGAAGAGGAATATTCTCAGATATATTTATGATAAAAAAAAAATGGATATATATATATATGAATAAATACATGAGATTACGCATTCTCCATGTGATGAAAATTTTGATTCTTTCTCGGTTTATTCAATTTTAGACATAATGTCAATCCTCAATTTCAGAGGATTTTGATTTTTCATGCTCTCTTTTTGGATATTCAAGGGATACCTATAATTTAATGTTCGACGTGGCAAATAGCCAGGAAAGTAGTTGTTTTCTGTTGAATATTCAGAATGACATTATATGCAAATCTTTATATGAAGGAGAATACAAATTCTCTACTTCAGATGATTTTCGAATTCTTATCGTGTGTGTTCAATAGATGTAATTCAATATTCTTCGTGGCATATAGCTAGAAAAGTAGTTGTTTTCTATTGAATAAACAGAGAAAAGAATTGATATTTCCATCACATGAAGAATCTTAATACTCAGAGTATTTCTCTATACAGGGTGGGCCACCAGTAACTCCTCGGTCTCTAGAAGGCTAACCACTTATCTTCTTGGAATTCTTCCTCTCTAGGAAGTTGCATGTCAACATAGGCTACCATTTAAAATTATTTAGAAACATACAAGGTGTCCCCAAAAACCATAAAACACTGAAGTTAAACTTTTTTCTATCGAACACCCTATATATTATTTCATTTTGAGATTCTTCCTGATGAGCTGATTTCAACGACCTATCATACTTGGGGTCTAGCAGTTATAATTACTGAAATATAGGGTGTGAAAAATCGAGATTTTCCAAGTTCAAGAATTTTTTGTGTCGAAACTATTCATAATTGGTCAAAACGGCTTACATGTCCCTATCTCAATTTTTGATTAACTATCTACTGATATTCAATTGGGACATATACCGGGTGATCAAGATTCTGAATTCTGCACCACCCTGTATTTGTTTCAATTAAATGTCAGTAGATAGTTGATCAAAAGTTGAGATAGGGACATGTGAAATCTCGATTTCTCACACCCTATATCTCAGTAATTATAACTGCTAGACCCCAAGTATGATGGATTGTTGAAATCAGCTCACCAGGGAGAATCTCAAAATGAAATAATATATAGGGTGTTCGATTGAAAAAAGTTCAACTTCAGTGTTTTGTGATTTTTGGGGACATCCTGTATGTTTCAAAATAATGTCAAATGGTAGCCTATGTTGACATGCAACTTCCTAGAGAGGAAGAATTCCAAGAAGATAAGTGGTTAGCCTTCTAGAGACCGAGGCGTTACTGGTGGCCCACCCTGTATATACATATTCATTTTTTTGTGTTCATAAAAATATCTGAGAATATTCCCTTTCAAAGTCTCTAATGTTCTCTAAAGTAAATAAGTATGTGAAAAATATATTTTCTACGAAAAACGTTCATTTAGGCCAAGTTAGGTAGGTTAGGTTAGGTTGTTTGGAAAAGTTAGTCCCTATGCTGAAAATAATATTTCCCCTCCTTATATCACGTCGAAATTTGGGTCGATCGGAATTTGGGTCGATCGAAATTCGGGTGAATCGAATTTGGGGCGAATCGAAAATTGAGCGAATCGAAAATTGGGTGAATCGAAAAATGGGCGAATCGAAAATTTGGTGAATCGAAAATTGGGCAAATCGAAATATGTACCATACATACATATTATGTGTACCGAAAAATTGGAATATTCAATAATGATAAGCCCAGAATGATTCTTCATTCAGATTTGGCAACAACGAATCGTTCTGGTCTATTCGGAGATGGTGGGCGAATCGAAGATTGGGCGAATCGAAAATGGGGCCAATCGAATATTGGGTGAATCAAAAATTGGACCGAACGCAACCTATCCCTTATAGACGGAGTGCCAGAGCCAAAAAGATTCTCTGAATTTACTTAGCCTAGTTTTGTCACAGTTTATTACAGTGGTTTTGTACACAAACATACTGCGGTCAGTCAAGCGAAACTGAGAACTGGTGTCCCTGGTATACTATCGAAGTTGTCGTTCCTACCGAGGTAATGCAATGCATTTATTAAGGCTGAAAATCATTACACACATTGTTTATTGCATATGCTCATATAAAATAAATCCCAATGAGATATGTTCAATTTGTAATTTGAATTCTGCAGAAACGTTGCAGCATATTTTGTTCGATTGTCCGATTTACAATAGTCTCAGAATACCAAACAGTGATTATCTCCCGAATAGCCACTCGTTGATTGACTTCATCGACAATCTTACTCCACTTGAATGCAAAAATATCACCAACTATATATGGAATATACGAGGGAATATACTAAAAACCAGAGCATTTTCAAGAAACGAGTTTCACTTCGTGATATCATCAACTTTGCCTCATTTCCTTATTCTTTCTTTCTGTTCCTATTTATCAAAACTGTTTATATTTGCATATATGTATACTGACAATTATTATCATTCGCATTGTACACATATTCATGTGAAGTGATCATCAGAATGTAATATAATGTAATGTCTTTGAATTGCAATTCATTTATTTTTTGCATACATTGGGGTTGACTGACCAGCTCCCATCCCCACAGTCATCAGCTGACTTACTCTCATAACTTTCATTTAATGCAATATACAATTTGTATAATGATTTTCAGCCTTAGGAAATTCATTGCATTACCTCGGTAGGAACGACAACTTCGATAGTATACCAGGGACCTGTTCTCAGTTTCGCTTGACTGACCGCAGTATGTTTGTGTACAAAACCACTGTAATAAACTGTAAAAAAAACTAGAGAATCTTTTTGGCGCTGGCTCTTAGACTATTACCATATCTCATGACAATAATGCCTTTGATTTCAGGATGGTGATTTGACGACTCCAGCTGCAGTAGCGTTTTTGGACTGGCAAATATCCTCCTTACACTCTCCAGCTCTCGATGTATCTCAATTTCTATACGCAGTAAGCTCCGAGGAAGCCCTAGTAACACACTTTGAAGATTTGATGGTATTCTACCACTCAAAACTTTCCTCATGCCTGAGGGAACTAGGAAGCGACCCAGAAAATATATTTCCGTATTCGTTGCTGATTGAACACTGGAAGAAGTATTCAGTGGCTTCGTTGATTTTTGTTCTGGGGTTTCTGAAAACAATAGTTTCGGAGGGCGATGAAGTACCTGCTACAGAGGATATTACTTGTGGGCTTGGAGATGTGTTTTCGAATGTGAAGATAACGAATATGAATGCTTATAAATCCAGACTTGTTGCAATAGTGAAGAACTTTTGCAGTTTATGATTATTATGTCAATATAACTAGGGTGTTGTTTAAGTAGGAGTCGACATTCCTTTAGACGGATGTCCGTAAGTTGACTATTTTCGATGTACTGGGCGAAAAGATTGATATAAGGATCAGTTGCAGCCAAATTCAGATTGAAACTCATGGATTGTTACAATGGTTCTCGTTCCGTTTGGCGGGATTTGGTCCGATAAAATTTCAACAATAGTTCACCACTTTCTAAAGACGACGGCATATTAAGCAGCAACATCGTAGTAAACTCAACCATAGATTTTCAGAGAACAGAGTCGCCAGATATTTCTTTTATTGGATTTTTGACGGCTCTAACGGAATTCCACCAATTGTTCTTGATGAGTGCGCACCAGAATAATCACTGATTTTCTGCATCTTGAACAAGAAAGTTTTGCTATCCTGGTGGAAAATAATTATTAGAGTTCAACCAATCAGCAAAAAATTGGAAGGAAAATCTGTCTAGCACCTATATAGGTTGTTTCAAAAGTGATGGAGAAAGCCATCAACAATGAGCTTATCAAATATCTGGAAAGCTTGACAAACGAACTTACGGACATATACGTTCATGTAATAGAAAATTGTAGATGTATATTGAGCATACCTTAGTTTATATGTGAAACAAGGAAGACTCTTCTCAAAATGGAGAGGAAACACATTACAGCATTGGGTTCATAGCGAATTCTCTTCTCGGAAGTAAATACATAAGAAATAATGTTTCTATCGATAAATACATGCCAAGAAAGTGAAAAAATTGCGAGAGCTTTATCGAGCAAACTAGGGGAAACGAAGAACTTGAGTGTGACAACTACGACTTCACATTAGCTCTATAGAAAATTCGATAGTCTTTCAATTTGTGCATGATGAGTTTCCTCGACTAATACGTACATCATTAATTATCTACCGAAACTTCACAAAAAGACTATTTTTTTGGGACGTACGGAAATTTGGTCAATTTTCACATTGCCTAGTTCCTCACTTGCTAGTTCTACACGGCTGAAGAGCCAGAAAAAAAAATTCCTTTTACCTGACTTCTTGGCCTAATGACGTTTTTGATTTTGTAAAATCTTTTTATGGCTTTAATGTGACTATTGTGAATTTTTGTTTCATAGTGACAATTTCAATTTCCACATTCATAATGTATTTGTTCTACTCACATAACAAAAATGGCATTTAGCGTACGGATATATACCACGCTAAATGACCGATTAATCACGGATTGTCGATCTGTGATTTATTCAAAATATTAAACACGTTACCATGGCAACACGATTTCTTAAACACATTACCATGGCAACACAGTTCATTAAACACAGCTTCAGTAATTTGGGACATGTCTGGCCTGTCAATTGTATTAACTGTCAACTGTTATTTTCAAATCTTGTATCAGAATTATTCAAACAATATTCGTTTCTATCAGAGTTCTCCATTGAAAATATATGCGGAATGTAGACGAAAGTGAAATCGCAGAGAATGTTCTGGTACTTGCATATTTCCAAGTAGTATAAAGATGAAGCATCCATCTTTGAGAACAATTTATCTATCTTGTGATAAGCATGACAATAAACGTGAAACAAAGGTTAGTAAGCAATGGACTGGACACATCTACAACCAATATCACTTATACGTGTCTCGCTAGTTGCATGCAGTTGTATGTATTATGTTCTCAATTCCCAGTCCTTTCGAATTATTTTATAGGTTAGCAGGAATAGTAGGTATGTTAATGTAATTTTCGGAGTTCGTAGAAAAAGCATAGTATGTAACGCGTTTATAAACTCTTCTAGACACTCGTTTATTAAACACTCGTTACTAAAAGGACGTTTATAACACTTGTACATAATATACTATTAGGTACTGCAGAGTCTAATGATGGCCGTTGCGCCGAAACCGGTCACTGTTTTTCAATCTTTTATATGAAGTGTGGTTAAAATAAATTGGACCACTTAGAGTATGGATGATTTCTACAATTTAATAAATAAAATAATGATTCAGTTACGAAATAGATATCTTGAATATCATTCGATTTGATTTCAGCTTAAACATTCTTCTTCTTGAAGGCATGCTGAGTGAAAATCCAACAAGCATGGTTATTTTGCACTGGCAAGTATAAATTCAGTATTTGCCAGTGATCGATTCATCACTATTTCTATACTCGCTTGGTAGTGACCATATCAACAATCTTTAAGAACCCCTAATAACACACTTATGTTTCATGGATATCCTTAGGACGTCCTGTCGGGACATTCAGGACGTCCATAGGACGTTCAAATTTGGCATTGACAAGGAGAACTTATAGCCTACGAGCAATCATTCGTTGGCAAGGTGTAAGTTAACGTCTTCGCAGGGACAACATATTGAATGTACCGACTGGGACGTCCAAGGATGTCCCTGAGGGACATTTCGATTATTGTATGATACTGGAAATATTAAGGGCGTCAGTGCAGAGATATTTGAAGGAATGTATCATCACGGACATTTTGATGGTTATCTAGAAGTTACATTATATAAGATCTGAAGTCATGCCAGAATATGTACTACTCGGGACATCCGATAAATGTCCCTAAAGGGACGTTCAAAATCATATCTCATCAGGGACATGCCAAGGACGTCCTTGCATGGACATTCTACAATATGTACCACGTGGGACGTCTAAGGGATGGTATTTCTAGGACATTTGAAATGATGTACCAGCTGGGACATTCCGTGGACGTCCTTGCTCGGACATTGATGTGATGATACATGAGATGTACGGGATGGGACGTCCCAAGGACACTTATTTTTGGTTCGGGACATTCGGACGTGAATTGTACCGAATATAGGGACGTCCCTAGGACGTTGTGTGCTATTAGGGACTCTTGGAATTTTACCATCAGATACTAAGTAAATTTCTGCAAAAAGAAAACAATGTTTTTACATGCCCTTGGGACACATATCATCAAATTTCTTCATCAGATGTCGGTCGCAATTTACAGTCGGCTCTTGGACTATTTCATAATGTTTGAGATATCAGACTCCATCATGTGCTTCCTTCAAAGTAAATAGATAAGATAAAGAGATATCGTTTCTTGATAAGCCTGTAGCGAACATTCTCAATTATTACAAATATTATAAGTTGAACGAAATGTTGGATAAGGAAACTGAGAAGGAAATTTTTTCTCTTGTGGAGCAGTCTGTCGAAGATGAAAATTTTCGTAAATACGCGATAGATTTAAGGTCAATATTGCACAATGGTTCTGTCGATTTCATACGTCTAGTGATATACGGAAGGGACAACAACAATTTCATAAAAGAAATGGACTTGATCGTGAAGGTGATTGAGACAAAATCTGCTGTTAGGATGGGGATAATAAGGTCGTTGAGACGAGCTTTCAGAAGAGAAATATTTATATACCAAAAGTTGTTTCCTATGATGGAGCAATTTCAACGACAGAAATATGCAGAGTACCCATTTGAACGTACACTATTGGTCTGCTATCGAACTATTGAAACTGAAGATGGTAAGCTAGCAATAATGTTCAATGACCTGAAGAAGCTCCATTTCACTCATCTGAATCCAAGAAAACCTATGAGTATAAACAATATGAAATTTGTACTCACACAGTATGCCAGATTTCATGCCGTTTGCTTTGCTTTAAGAGACCAAAGAAATGGATTATTCGAGGAGGAACTACAGAAATTCGATCGTATTGATAAAGATACGTTCACAGAGGAAACAATTATCAATATGATTGAAAGTGGAATAACCACAACCATTAAGACTTTGACTGACACGAATCAACTTGAGCTGAGGCAAAAATTCGTTAACTTTACTGAAAGAGGCATCAGTAGGATTCTAGAGGATGTTCTCTCGAATATTCCGGAAGAATGGGTTATTATCCATGGGGACGGTTGGAATGAGAATTTTGTTTTCCAACATAAGGTGTGTGTAAAGAATTTCAAAAACTTAAGAGAATGGCAAACTACCCTCACTCAACCTCATTGTAAACGTTATTTCACCTGAAAAGCTAGTAAATCAGGAAAACAATTTTTTCACCTTAGGAACACCTCTAACCCATATGCATCCTTGACGAAGATCCCATTCGCAGGTAATATTCAATTCTACACATAATGAATCCGCTTCTCACCTATAGACCTAAATTAGCGACCTCGAGCGACCGCCGCTTATGCCGCCATCTTGAAAAAATGGCACCCGAAGCCAGTATTTCGGGTACAACTAACTTCATGTCAGTACCTAACGGAGGTTATTTCAACAATTGTATGGAGCTTGTTGGTCTATACTGGGTGACAATTTGAAATCAAGCAGCACTCAATATTTCTTCAACTGATGACAATTTATATATCGGGATCAACTTTTAAGGTATTCGTCGTCAAATCACCCCTGGGCAACTACTCCTATTTTTCATTAAGATGCCATTACTTAACTGCACGGATTTTTGGATAGTGATCTATTATGATAATGAAATTAGTGACATACTGACCTAACAAATCACGTCATGGATTGTTCAAAATGGTTTTCTAAGCACAAAAACAGCCGCTATTCAAATTGTTCGCAGACCTTTAGGAAGTTTTGTTCTTGAGACTCCTGAATTCTCAGTCCTATACTTACTAACATTGAGTATTCACACTAGTCTAATTACATTGAGTATTCACACTAATAATCAAGGCTAATTATCATTTTAATTATATAAATCTCCAAATAAGTCAACTTGTTGTGAATTCCAATATTTTTTCTATAAAATTCTCAATGTCACGACAAGTGTAATTGTGTATGTATGTGTAGTTTATTGTACGAGTATTTCACTGAAAGAAGCTACTGTGTTAGCGAAACATGTCGTAATATTAAGAATTTTTTTGAAATCTTATCGTTCCTGAAGTCTTTTCAGAATCTATAGGAAGAAAATCGATTCGGGTACCGTTTTCCACCTGGCTGAAAGATAGATATAGTCCAACCAATCTCACAAAGAGCAACAATCCTTTCAACTATAGGTCTACTGCCCTGTTATCATTTTTCTCCAAAGTGATGGAGAAAGGCGTCAACATTGAGTTTATCAAATATCTGGAAAGTTCAGGAATCAATAATGATGAACAATATGGCTTTCGCCACCGAAGATCAACTGCAGATTTACTTGCCTACGTCACCCATATATGGCAAGCTCCATTAGAAAAACATGGCAATCTTTAGCTGTGGCGGTCGACATATCGAATGCATTCGACCGTGTTTGGCACCAAGGACTCCTTCACAAACCACCATCATATCTTTTATCAAGTGTTCTTACTGGTAGTCAGACGAACTCGACAAGCCCAGTCAGCACATACTTTCGTTATCAACCTCGAAATATAACTTTAACAAAAATAGTTTATCTATACAACGACAAAGCTCTGCGCACGATATTCTTCGGACATTATAGGGATTCCCTATCGTGCGCTCCAAGGGCTGCACAGTGGAGATAACTTGAACCAACCTGTTACAACCTACTTCCTACAAATCATTACACCTATTCTCACAATATTGAATGAACTTTCTCTCTGTTGAAAGGAAGAACGTATTCTATAACTAAAATAATTTTGGATGAATAGGTATACTGTGATCATTATTCCGAATGTTAATTTATTTTATGTTTCATGCAGGACGACAAGAAAGAGATCCCATCCGAACTGTGTATTTTCAACTGGCAGTTTTCTACAATTCATTCGCCTGTCTTGGATCTAGCCTTGTTTCTCTACTTCGTCAGCTCCAAAGAGGAACTACTTCAGTTTGATGAACTCGTTAGATTCTATCACGAACACCTCTGTCTCGTTCTATCATCCCTTGGTAGCGATCCCAAGCAACTCTTCCCGTTCTCTACTGTGATAGACCATTGGAAGAAGTTCAGCTCGTACGCATTGCTGCTGGTGGCTACTGGCTTGCCTGGCATATGTGCCAGACAACCAGAAACAATGTCGTTGTTGCCAGATGAAGATTTGTATAAGGAACGGATTTCGGCTGTGATAGAACATTATTTCCGTACGATAGAAGGGTAATTGAGAGAATACTCCTTCTGATAGCTTATGAAGTCATATCAAAAGATTTATATCATTGATATCATCGAACAGTGATGTATTTTTCCAATATAGGCATAAACACGAATACGTGAGCTCTATTTATATCTCTATATAATTGTAACATAACATGAATGCATCAATTGTTTGATGAAATACGCATATCAAAAGATTTATATCATTGATATCATCGAACAGTGATGTATTTTCCCAATATAGGCATAAACACAAATGCGTGAGCTCTATTTATATGTCTATATAATTGTAACATAACATGAATGCATCAATTGTTTGATGAAATACGCTGTTATACTTCAAAAAAGACCTTTCGAATACCCAGAAATTTCATAAAACTTCCACGTATTATGTCCCTGGCAGCAGAATCATCGGGAACATTTTCTTTCAACAAAATCATTCGAAAAATTGTCGGGAATTAATTCTAGTGCTTGAAAGATTCGGTAACAACATTTTATAAATTGGAGACACCAAATTAAATGAGGCATATTATGCAATATCTAGAATTAATGTATATTCATATACATACAAAAAAATAATTCGAAAGATGTTCGGACTGGAATATCAACAAACTTGTAAACCCACCTTTATAAAATATAAAATCATATATTTTTACAGCGTGTTTCTTTATCACTGTCTTCTGTATGTGAGAAATAACATCAATACCTTTCAACTGGATTCATCAAATCATTACTACGACCAGAAGCTCAGATCTCCTACGCCTTCCCAAACACAAAACAATAAAACTAGAAAATAGTTTCAGATATATGGGAATGAAATGATACAATCACCTTCCAACATTCATTGAAGAAATAAATCCCAATTCTTCTTTTAAACGAAATATAAAAAATGTAATGGTTACCAAATGTTATTATAATATAGATGAATACCTGCATGATGGACTTGTAGTAGCCATTCTAGCCATTTATTATTGTATTTTGTGTATTTCATCATGTATTTCACTTTTTGAACCATTTTGTAAGTTCTTCACTTGTCCTATACATTTTGTAATGTCTCAAAGGATGAAATAATTACTATTATTATTTTGCCCGAAAAGAGGTAGTATAGGTACCCATTCCACATTTAATCTTTGTCAAAGCGTCTACTCGAGCGTTTCTATTGTGATATATAATGGTTGTTTGATTGCATACAAAGAGGGATATTTTTAGTATTATTCAATAAAAGCATCAACATGCTCCGAAAACCAAACCATATGGAACTGATGTTATCTAAGCCTCTTTTACTACTTTGTGACATGAAAATAGTTGTGTTCACGTGGCCTAGTGTCAAAGAAAACCATAACCTTTTTTTTCAAATGTAAAGGGGGTTCTTGTGGTACCTGGTTTCAAAGACATTTCAATGATCTATCCAACACCACTTCGCCAAGCCGTATCAACTGAAAAGCGTTTGAAATTCACCTCGGAAACATTAAATAAAGTTCGGAATGAATTCCGAATTCGATTTTCTTTCTGTCAATAAGTGAAGTGTGATCAGAATTCTGAATCTTGAACCACCCTGTATTTGTTCCAATTAAATGTCAGTAGAAAGTGAATCAAAAGTAAGGATGGAAACATGTAAGCCGTTTTGACCGATACCTAATGGAAAATGTCGACACAAAAAATCCTAAAGTTGAAAAATGTCGATTTTGATCACCCTATATTGTCACAAATAGGTTTAATTTCTTAAATTTCATTTAAATTCATAAAGGGTTCGAAGTCATTGGAACGGAATTTGTCCTCAGAATGATAATACGTTTTCGTCGGTCGTCGGAACGCTATGACACTGATGCCCTTTCTCCAGGTCTCAGAAGATAACATATACCTTCAGTATAAGCCTTATTTGTTGTTTTGGAAATGATTTTACTTTTTTTGCCAAATTCCATACTATTCATTAATTGACAAGGTTCATTCTCTATTGACAAAAAGAACACAACTTAGGCAACCCCCGCCTACTGTTTGTGACAATATCTCTGTAATCATTCCCGCCAGACCCCATATATCTACGATCAGGTCGGCAGCTTACTTGATATTTACTATTTCGCCGTCATTGTACCTACTAAACATATACGGATAACAAGGATCTCCAAGTGAAGTCAAAAAGTTAAATAAATGACAGTCTGATGAGAGTGAAACTGTATTACAGCGCATGGGTCATCTAGAAATAAGAGAAGACATCAGTTTGTAAAATTCCTTTCAGCAGGCGATGGCTTTGTAATGAACATATGAGTATTATTAAAACTTTCGTGAAATGTACGACATAACCTAAAATTCAATGTTTATATTTTGTTTTCTGAATCTGAAGCCTCAGACAAGAAATCATGACCAAGACTTCACTGGAATTCATAATTGCAAAGTTTTGGTGGTTTTGATGAAGCAAACAGTTTTAATTAGCGGTTTTGGAATGAGTTTGATGAAGTTTTTTGTATCAGAATACTTCGGATAATGGTCAACAAATGCATGACATTAAAAATATACAAATGTACAGCTTCTCAACACATGCAAAATTATAGGAAGTGTGGCAGAACATTACAAAAATTGGGAAGCCCACTTACAAATATATATACCTGTCTGTAGCAGACACTTCTTAGAAACAGATTATGAAGGTGATTTCTTTCAAGTTTCAAGGAAATTTTTCTTTGACGCAGATGAATACTATTTTCAGAGGCATCGGTATGAAACTTCAACATGATAATATATAAATAAAATTTAAATGAAATTCGTCATCCATTTGACTCGTGATCTTGACAAATCCCGCGCTTGCGCAAATAGGTATTTTCACCCGCAGACTGTCATTTGTTTCCTCAAAACTGGCTTCACTTTCGACCATGAAAACATAGGATGTTATCCGTAAATGTTTAGTAGGTATATGCTAGACCCCAAGTGTGACATTGATGGAATCAACATTTCAGGTAGAATCTAAAAATGCAATGAAATACTGAGTGTTCTATTCGAAAATCAAAAGTTGATGCCCGGTACGCTTCAAGGTTTCAACTTTAGGATATGATAATCGCAGGAAAATTATTCTCCCGCCAAATTGAAATTGACCTATCCGAACGGTTTGTCATTAATTACAACACAACGGAGAAAACGTGGTTGGATGGTCTTCGATGGGCCACCTAGTTATACTAGGAAGGTATATGTCCACCCAACCGTGGAATACACTAACTTCCAAGTTGATATTTGTCATGGTTGAGTCCACATGTTAATATTATATCACTAAACTATGCGGAGAAGGTATACATTGTCCTTAAACATTACTCTATTACTATTCTTAAATATCTCTAGGCTTTCCTATATATGCATCTAATTTCCTAACATTATCAACTTGCATAACTAATTTGATGTGTTATGATTGTGAATAAATATGTGTTTAGCTACACGAGATTTATCCAACCTACCATATTTCAAACGTCGAACGTGATTGAACTCAATGTAATTTCAAATGTGCTAGGTGTTTTCTGAACTTCGCCTGGTTTGGACTATATATTTATATGTTTCATCACAATCTTCACAACTAATTTCGTATATTCCTGACTTCTCAAATATGTTCACCTCATTTTTTTTATGTTCTGGTTCCCACGAAAAGGGGAATCCTCTATTGTTCAGAGAACATCGTGAGAACCAAGAAAAGTAAGGTAGGAATTGGTGTTCTTATTGAATTTCTGGAGGTTATATGCCTCGGGGAACACCTCCTTGGCGATGTGTTCCAGAGCCTCGCTGTTCGTTGGATGAACTAGTCGTTGGAAAGAGATGTTCGGCAGGTCTCCAATGTGACCACGAAGGGGTGCGAAGCCTCAACTCGACGGGCTTATTTCGCGGGGACTGCCAAGGGAGGAACAATTGTTGATATTCCAGAAGAGCATCGTCCATGAAAATATCTATAAAATAGAGCCAGATTGCCAACTTTTCTACGGTGTTCCAGAGAAGTGAGTGAGTTGGTGAGCGAGGCATCACCCACGAGACGAATTGCCGTTTTTTGGACAGAATCCAACAGGTTTAGGGTATGTTTGGGTGCTGCACTCCAAATATGGGAACAGTAGCCCAGGATAGCTCGGATCTGTGCCTTATAGATCATAAGCAGCTGACTGGAAGTGAAATAACTCCTGGCCCGAAACAGAAAACCAAGTTTTTGGAATGCACTTCTAGCTATTGATCTCACTCGATTTTCTGGATTACCTATTACATTGCCTAATTTTTACCCACCTGATGTCTTTGAAACCTTCATTTACTTGGGATTGATATTCTTCTCGGATTGTTTTTATCCGCTTCAAAAGTCGTAGAATTCCGGAGTGTTATCCCAAATTTTTGTTTACGTATTGATTTATTTACTATTTTAATATCATAACCATTGACGCTAGCCACTCTATAAATGCGAAAATAACAGTCAATTACCATTCTTAGATGATCAAAAATGATGAAAAAACTTAGCATTTGATGTTTTTAGAAATTGAAATAACACATTTAGATACATATTCAATGACTTCAACACAAAATGGCAAGTTTAAATTTTCTAGTACATAGGTAGACTAGTTCCATTTCCTCTGAGCAAATAATGATTCGATGTTGAAAAAAGTTTGTATTTGTATTTATTTTGTGTGATTTCCTTATCCATCATTTTGTGTGCACCCAATGTCAGTGTCAATTATGATTACCAATTTCACTCAAATCATTTGGAACGTTGTATGGCAAAAAAATTTCTCTGTCTAGGCAGAGAAAGTACACATTTGCTGCCTGTTGAGTGTCATAGGAAAGTCAGTTGCCATGCCGTTTGGACAGAGAATACTTCAATGTACTACTTTGCTGCCTAGTAAAACAAATAACTACTTATTATACTGTCATTGAAAAAGGTTGGCGAATAGATATTAATTTATATGATAGCATAGTCAGGATATCCTGAGTATTATACGTTTGAGGTTGATTTTCTTTACTATTTCCATAATATTTGAGGGTCAACTCATGATGTTATTCTAATGCATTCTAGACATACATTAGACAAGCTAATTTTTAAAAGCAAAAACGTTTGAAATGAGCACGTGATTATTATGGTAATGTTTGTTCATGATGATATGACACCAAATGGGTGATACATACTATACATACTTACCTAGTCGAATTTCATTATAAACATCAAGTGGTCCGTCGATTCCGTGGAAGTTCAAATGAAATTTTAGTGAGAAAAATCAGTTTCACATCATACTCTTTATGTGGTGAAATTTTTGAGAAAGCTTGTGAATTCATTGATTAGTTTCCTGACTCAAAAGAGTTTTTCTACTTCTCAAATTTGGAAAGGTATTGGTAAGTACATATTCATATAATTCACCTAGTTGTAATCTTTCGAAGAAGTCCATGGTAACTCGGAGTGGAGTGTGGTGTAGTTTATACATGAAAATCCAAAATCATCTCCACCACTAGCCTATAGTTGTATTGATGAACCACAAAATAGAATATTATGGGTTCTGTTGTCTGTCATATAATACTTGTTGATATGGAATGTGGGTACAGGGTATCCCACATAACATGGGCCAGCCCATTATCTAGTGAACTGAGAAGTTTACGAGATACGCACAAAATTGGGAATCTTTGTTGTTTATAGTCATATGATTCCTGTCTTTCAGATAATGTCAACTATACCGGATTATCCATGTACAAATTCAATCCTCAATTCCTTTTCAATCTATTCAAGTGGCCCATGTTATGTGGAATAGCCTGTACAACTTATTATATTGACCTTAGTGGGCTACAATCCACAAAAATATCTTCTTAGTCAATTGTTCAAGGAATTCATCTTTATCTTCAAGAATGAAGTATTTTTCTGAAAAGCTTGTATATCGATAATACAATGACAGGATATCGTTTTCCTTATTTGGTTCCTATCTCACAGAGTTTTATCAGAATTTCACAACTATTGCGATGAAATAACTTCCCAAAAATGCAATAAAATCAGTATACTCAATCACTCAAGGTAGGTATCCAGAAAAAAATAGATGTTTATCAATAGATCGAATAATGTTCTCAAATCATTGATGCTAGAAACCTGATGGTGAAATCAATCGTCTTCAGAGAACATGTCGCACCGCTGCAATAAGAGCGCTCATACCGTCCAACCGCGACATGTTCACTGAAGACGAGTGTACTTGAGTATAACACCTGCCAAAATCAAATTTCAGGTTGTCGGACATGTGCAACAGATAAGAAATTTATGGCGAACAATGAAACTTTCAATTTGTATTGAAGATATCTCACATTTCAAGACTTCACTTCAAAGTTTTTTGCCTTCGGTGAGTTTTACTGAAGACCTTTCCAATCCACTGGGGTGTTTGTAGCAACCCTAAATTTCTGTACGAACTTTCTTTCAAAATTCAAGCTATTTATCCTGCATCATTTCATACCCAATCTATATATCAATTTAGACATCTATTCACTGTCGAAATAAAATTTATTGCTGATTTTGAATTCATTCAGCCAAATTAGGCATGCCATAGTACACGGAAAAAATGGGTTAGTACGACTGAGCTACAGAGGTGTGTCATATACTATTTTTTAATTTTCCTCATAATTTTCTCATTATGAATTTAGTCAATCCTATTGAGTAACTTATCGACTTCTTATCAGTTGTTCTTCAATGTTAGCTATCATTATTCTCTCCAAAAATTGAATAGTGTTATTTATAAGCATTTATCTGAAATATCCTTAGTGGTCCATCATAGGTACATATTTTATATGCCCATGATGGTCCCTTTATGGTTCACATATAAAAACAGATCTTTTTTCATCATTCAAAATTTTTATTATATGAAATACTTCACTCTATATGCATACAAATGGAAAGAATGCATAAAATTCCTACCATATTTCCCTTAGTTCTCACGAACAGTTCTCTGAACATTACAGGATATACCTTTTCGTGGGAACCAGAGCATAAAAAAAAATGCTTCTGAAAATTAGTAGCAACTGTCTGAAAAGGCTTGATACATATGAGCTGAGTGTGGCGGTGGTAAGAGCGCGATATTTGAAAATAGAGGTCGTGGTCAGCCATCATATAGGCAGGGGGCCATTATAGGCTCATTTCCCAATTTATTATAATACCTACCTACTATGTTTCCCTGAAATTATACCAATGAAAAACTGAATCGTACTAGAAATCGTCATTCAAAAATAGATTCCGGGACCATTCGAGTCAAAAATCCACACGAAGCGAAGCATTCCTGGTCATTCATTTGTTGTTGGAATGTTGAGTGAGTCGGATCGCCAGCTCACATGTAATATCTGGATGTCTGGATTGTCGGGGCGATTGCGAGGGCGATTGGGTGTTCGATGGTGACAGCTTCGATAATATGGTCATGTTACTACGTTGATATTCCTCATCATGAAATGAAAATAGAAATGATCCAGGCAGTATACCGGGTGCCCCAAGTATGGTAAGTATATGATTCAATGGAGTACCTATCCTATTCATGGCAGAAGTTAAAAAATGAAAATATTCTTGATTCGATATAAAGACGAGATCCTTTTATTTGGGATTTTTTTTCCAATCATTGTATATTTTATTCAGTTTTTCAATTCTATTCAAAATAACTTTATAATCAAGTTGATAGAAAAAGAGAAATTCCAATGCGGAATTATTTCAGAGCTCTGAGAGTTTGTTCAATATCCATTTCGATTCTAATACTCCGAAACCTTTCTTATATAGGTATTAATTATCAATTGATGAATGCATCTATTCTGATTTCGAACTATTGAAGTGCAGTGCAAATTTTTTTAGTGGATCTCTCAATTAACGGTTTCTTTTTCATCTCAAATGTAAAATAGAGTGTCATCGTTGGGGAGATAATTCTGAATGGTTTCCAAGGACTCTACAAAACCGGGTTCCATTTGTAATTGAAAAATATGGGTTTAGTTCCAACCAGAAGTGATCGACTTCCTATGTTGATTTTTCTCAAATGATACATCCATGTGAAAATATCAAATCGTGAAAATTGCATTATTCAATCTTCTAAATGAATGATATTTTTCATTGGAATAGATGATCGATGTATACTGTGGCACCCGATATAGGTTGACGGAATCATCCCGATTCTAAAGAACGAGAATACAAGTTCAAAATCACTGGTTAGCTGATTTGTATGTATGTAATACATGCCCTGCAGCGACCCGAATCAGATTTTCAACATTTGGCAACACAGCAGTAGGGCCAGAAAACCTGATAAATTGTTCTCCCAACGTACTCCTCAATTTCGCCATTTCGCCAAGAGATTAGATATACTGAGAGGGAAAAATATAACCATAGGGTGAGCCACAATAGGCCATTGGCCGCACGTTTGAACCTAAACCTAAACCGTTGATTGATATATTACGCTTACGCTGGGCCTAAACCTAGCTGATTCTCTACGACAGAACAAACTGTGCCTACGGGCTCTGAGCGTCCACCCAAGATGCCAGAGGACATATTATTTGAAGTATATATAGGTCCTCGCGTATAGTATTATAATTAAAATGCGTTTTGTTGTCCCACCGAGTATCTGCCAATCGTAAATTGACTGTATATGAATTTTGGATACTAAGTATGAAATTTTTTCCGTGTAGCACAACAAGATCAAATGTTAGTTCAGTTGAAATAACTGAAAAATCAGTGCGATTTCACTTTTCCGCTCGTTTACCCTACTTCAGCGACCGCCAGGCATCAAAGTGTTACTTTGCGACCGCGTTACTTTGACTATTGAAAAATCGACCTACGAACATCGATATCACCAACTTTGTTTTCCATTTCATGATTATGTTTACAAGACTTCCTCAACCTCAATCACTTTATGTCAAGCAGTGATTATTTTCGTTCCATAATCCATTATATCAATTTCAAAATATTGTTATGACACTATTACTTCAATGTTACATTGAGATGATAAAAATGATCTGGTAGCAACTCATAATTCTGCTCTAATTTTGACTGATTAGTACTCTGTTAATATTTATGGAATGTGTTTTTATTATTGAAGTTCTAACAATCATGATTGTGGGTTATTGGAACAGCGACCTCATATTGACTTTTCTTAGTATAAAGTATAGACCAATTATATGAAATTTAGAACCTCATGCATAAGATTAGTGCACGGTATGGATGTGCTAATCACTTCGAAAATCAAGTTTGCATGGATTAGGTGAACTTGAATGAAGTGAATATTGAACGAGGATATCAGAATCATTGTTGAACGTGGGATACCTATACCATCCGTGCAATATGAAAAAGTGGTACCCTGAGGAACACCAGATGAGGATAGAATGAAACCTAGTTTTTTGATAGGAATGTATGTGTATATACAAAGTATCTCTAAAAGGTTTGTACAATGTGCTAACACATAATTCAATGATGCTGAATATGAGGATCTAGCCTAATTTACCGGTCCCAAAGAGGATATACAGGGTGTATCTAAATAACACCGAAAAAATTCAAGGGGTGATTACGTGTGATAGTTTAGGGAATAAAGTTCATATAAACATCCTAACTGGCCTCGTTTTCGAGATACAGGGTATTAATATTTCCATGAAAAATCTTTTTCCTATTCATTTCTTAATTGTCTTTTCATCAATTTCAATCAAACGTTGTGGTTTTGTTGATGGTGATATGGAGCTTCTCCTAGTGCAATTAAATTCGAAATAATATTTCCAGTGGCGTCACAGTAGGTAAATTTATCGATATTCATGGTGAATGTCATTGTACGCCACCTGTTTTTCTGAGTTTCATATCTTCATTAGATTGAACTATTGAAATACCAACTTCTTTATCCTCTGTGTGATTTTTGTATCTAGCTTAGTTTTTGAGAAAACAATAAAAATTCGATTTGACTCAAAATTTTGATGTAGGTGTTTTCGAGACTTCCATTGAGATTACTCAATAACCCCAATTAGAATCATTTTGAAATTTTGGGGCTTTCTCAGTCTCCATCCATACTGAATTTTGGCACCATGAAAGCTTATACAGGGGGGTTGAAATTGAAAACAATTAATACCTCGCCAACTTCAACATCCTGTATTTCAAAAACGGAGCAAGTAAGAACACAGATTTATATGAACTTCATTTGCTAGAATATCACAAGGGAACACCCCTTGATTTTTTTCGGTGTTATTTAGATACACCCCGTATAGTTTCCGATATGCAGGGCATCATAGTTCTCATTGTTTACACATCTTGGCAAATATTTGTTATTATAGGGTTTTTTTCAGGATGAGAAATCAAACTCTGTTCACAATTTCGAATGATGCAGAGAACGCTATACTGGGTGTTTCCGTAATTGGGGCGA